AGTAATCGCAGGAATGCCACCGCTAGAGCTGCTGGCAGAGGCAGAAAAGCAGAGGTACCTTGGCAGAATAACCGGCGTAACATACTCCCGGAGGCTAAGTGATGAGGCGATGGCAACATGGCAACACCGCTGGGACACATCCACCAAAGGAAGATGGACACACAAGCTGTTAGGAAACATAAAGGAGTGGATCGAAAGGAGACATGGGCAGGTCAACTACTATTTGGCCCAGCTGCTAACAGGACATGGATGTTTTCGCGCGCCAGCGGAACCACCTAGAAAGGGTAGTAGGGGCGCAGGTTACACATAGTACGGTAGTAAACCTGATGCTGGCATCCATCGAAAACTGGACTCATGTGTGCGACTTCGCCAGAGAAGTCATAAAGCGACAAAGGATGGCAGAAAAAGAAAGAGCTGCAACCCTAGAGATCAGCACTCGCTGAATCACCACCCCCTGAAGTCATGCTTGGCGGCGGTACCGGGGGGAACACATGGTCTGGAGGATACGGATAAGGATGGGGGCTTAGTACGTAGGCGCGAGCAAGCCAAAGAGTAAGTCTTGTCTCACATGCGAATCGTGCATATTGGTAGCTCCGGCTACCAATATCTTTCGAAGATTACCCAGCCTTTAGCTCGTATAGCTATAAAAAAAAAAACACACATATAAGCAGCTGTTCGTTTAGTTGCGTGAAACGATTGAAATAGCCAAAGCAAAATGTGAGACACTAATATGTGAATGTGCACACATACATTGTAAGGTTATTACTCTCGGCTATGCTCGCCGGCCAGAGTTTATGCTGTAATTAAATATTAGGCACCCCAACGTGCCAAGGTGTCCACAAATAAAAGGAGGGCGGTATGCCAAGAGAATATGTTTCCACGTGTTTAATTCATGGGCTTACAACTACTTAAACTACTTATTACTACTCCTTGTGGCGACGCGTTGCGCAGCAGGCAGCCGCGCGTCGTTACACGTCCCCCCTCCTAGTCGAACGCGATCCGGTTGAGGGGGACGGCCGCCAGCTCCACCATCGGGAGTTTTCCCCGCGGCCGTCATCTATCGCAAGCCCTGCGCCTCCGCCTTGTTGAACATTGCCCAACAGAAAGGCTCCGTGGCGCCGACGACCTGTTCCAGTAGCACCATTGGTTGCTCGCGGACGCTGCCATCGGGGTCCCGGCCCCACGTCACGAACACTGGCCAGGGGAGTCGAGGCCGCGATACATGTGGCGCCGTACGCCGCACATGCAGCTCGTGCAGGCACCTGACGTACGCCAAGGGCGCCTCCACGTCCTGCGCTGCCCGCTTCAGCCGTCGTCGCCGCTCCCGCTGCTCGCGTTCGCGCTGCTGGCGCTCGTGCTGCCACTCCTTCTGCTGCCGCAGCCTCTCGCGCCGTTGCTGTACTTCCAGCTGCTCCCGCTGCTGCCTCTCGCGGACTCGACGTCCCCCGCGGCGTCCACGCCGACGGCGTCGATTGCCCGCCGGCGTCGGCGACCTCGTTCGGGCAGGTGCCCGGACTTGACAGTTTCGGGGGTCGCGATCGTATTCCATTTGCGCCCAGCGCCACTCCACCTGGTCCATGTTGCTACTCTTTTCTTTCCTATTTTTGCTGCTGCCGCTCGTTGTGGAGATTCCGGTCGTACGACGTGTGCCGCTTCCCGCCAAGTGAGATATGGTTGTGCCAGCTGTTTTGGTAGCGCTGCCACTTCTCAATTTCGCGGTCCGCCAGTGCTACCTATGCCTGGCGGTCTGTGGTGAGTGTTACCATTTGTCACATTGCGATAGCGGCCGGTGTTGCCATTTATCGTACCTCCTCGATAACACGTTATCGACGGCCGCCCGCATGTTTACGTTGTAATTGGTTTCCGGTCTTCTGCTATTATTCAGCGTTGTGCCTATTTTTTTTTCGTTTAATTATGTTTGTAGGCTTACATGGGCATCTTCTTCGGCTAGAACGGCAGCTTTGCTGTTCCCGCTATGGTGGACGCCGGTGGGGTTGCTGTTGTTGCTGTCGGTGTGGCTGCTAGGGGCCTGGTTGCTGTTGCTGCTGTCGTGTCTGCTGTTGTGCTCGTTGATGCGGCCGATGTTGTGGCCCGGACTGACGTTGTGGCTGCGGAGATTGGTGCTGCGGCTGCTGTTGTGGTCGCTGAGCAATGGACTGCTGTGGCTGCTGTTGTGGTCGCTGAGCAATGGACTGCTGTGGCTGCTGTGAAGCTGTCGGTGGCGTGGCCCTGGTGGCCATACTAACGCTGCCTCTGTCGTCGCTGCCTTCGTGGGCTTCGCTGTCTTCTGCGTTCATCGCTTTTAGATCTCGCACATGTGCCGTTCTACCTCTGCCGCCCGCTACTGGTCGCACACGCACTATAACTGGGGATATGAATGCTCGCACCGTGAATGCTCCATCGAAGCGAGGCGCCAGTTTGGCCGCAAACTGCTCGGCTGCGTTGGACAGGTGATGTTGTCGCACGAGCACCTCGTCGCCTAGTTTGGGTCGCCACTCGCGTCTCCGCAGATTGTACTGGCGTGCCTGATCCTCGCTGGCCACCCCTTGGTTTCTTCTTGCTATGCGGGCAACAAACTGTAGTAGCGTCGCGTGCGTTTCTGGGCTACCTCATGTTGCCTCTGGGGCGTCCGGGTCTTCTCCGTACAGTGTGTTCTTTCCTAAATAGGATGAAAGCAGGTGAGTAGCCTGTTGCGTCTGAAAGTGCTGTATTAATGGCCAATTGTGCTTCCGGCAGTTGTTCGTCCCACGTGTTGTGTTGCCCGTCTGCCAGCTGAGCGATCAGGGTTTTGACCGTTCTATTGGTCCGCTCCGTGGGATTCTCCTGAGGTGTATATGGTGCCGTCAGTTGTTGCTATATGCCTGCCTCAGCTAGGAACTGTTTAAGCGCGGGACTTGTAAACTGGGCTCCATTGTCTGTAATGAGTTTTCGCAGCGGCCCAAACCGCGCCAGTATCCGCTCTCGTAGGGCCAGCTTCACTGCCGACGCTGTTGCCTTGCGGATGGGGACCAGTTCTGCCCACTTGCTGAACTTATCCACAAGGACCAGTAGGTACGCGTTGCCCCGTTTAGACCGCTTCAGCGGCCCTACCAAATCGGCGCATACGACGTCCCACGCTGCCTCCGCTGGTTTGAAATGCATCTTGCCTGCTGTCAGCTGTTGCTGGGCTTTATAGCGTTGGCACAACAGGCACTGGCGTACATACTTCGCGACCTCACGATACAGCCCAGGCCAGTGGTATCGGTGTGCGAGTCGCGCTAATTTCGACGTACTCCCATATGGCCCGACGTAGCGTCATCGTGGCATTCTCTCAGCACCTCCTGACGTAAAGGCGTGGCCACGCATAGTCTCCATGGCGACACCTCATCTTCTCCCAGCACGTGGGCTATGCGTCTCTATAACCTTTCATTCTGTATGGCGTAATCGGGATATTTGCTGGAGTTCTCCAACACCGCTGTCGACAGTCGCTGTAACCATGTGCAGGTTGGCGTCACCTCTGGCTCCACGCGTGCGCGACCTGCCACCTCGCGCGGTTCCCTGGACAACGCGATGACGCTGTCCAACGCCCTCTGAAATGTCGCGTGAGCCGAGTGCAGGCCAAACGGCATCACTCGCCACTGGAACAGCCCGCGTCCTGGCACCGTGAACGCTGTGTATCGCTGGCTTTCGCGCTCCATTGGAATCTGCCAGTATCCATTCCGCAAATCGATGCTGCTTATGTATTTGGGCTGGCGCAGCTGCTCCAAAATGTGCTGGATCCGCGGAATTGGGTACGCATCTGGTTCTGAGCGTTCGTTCAGCTGTCGATAGTCGATGCACATCCTCCAGGTGCCTGTATTCTTTCGCACCAACACGATGGGTGCGCTGTGGGCACTGTCGGAGCGCTCGATGCAGCCCTTTGCCAGCAATTCGTCGACTTCTTGATTGATCACTGCTTGCATGGCCGGATTCCGGGGTAATACCGCTGCTTGATGGGACGCTCGTCTTTCATCCGGATTGTGTGCACCGCCGCCGACGAGACTCCTGTGACACTCTCGAAGCTCGCCAATTCCCCCTCGAGGAACCTGGTAACCGTCTGGGCCTGCTGCTCCGTTAGGTGGGAAGCTATAGTGAGCCCCGCCTGCGCGTTTGTCACCAAAGGTGCATGCCGGGCCATGCGGTTCTGCCTCCGCCGCCTGCGTGGCCGTTGATCGTCCGCTCGCAGATTTACAGTTTGGCCGCCCACAGTCACCGCCCCGTTGGCCATATGGACGTAATCTAATCCCAGTATGAGCTCGTCTACGCATCCGGGGAGTGTGAGCAGCGGCAGTACTACGCGACTGTCGCCCATCGCGATCGTTGCCTTCGTCTCTTCACGGACCGTCTTCTGTGTCCCGTCAGCCATGGACACAGTCACGCTCACGGACCGTACGTTTTCTCCGTCCGCCCGCAGGCGTTGCGCCAGCCTCGGACTCATGAAGCTGCGTGTCGCTCCGGTGTCCACGACCGCCTCTACTAGTAAACCGTCACAGTCTACTGGTAGCGCGGCCGCTAACCTGCGTGTTGTTGTTAGTTGGAATTTGCCTGCGTGGGCTCGCCGGCTGTTGGTATGGGGCGAGCCCCCCTGGCGTTTCCCGGAGTGTGCCGGCAGCATTCGCTCGCGCGCACGCCCAACTTTCCACAGTCCCAGAAATAGAGCCGCTGAGTATTAAGGCAAGTATCCACGTTATGCCCTGCCATTCCGCAGCACTTGCACACCACCACTTCTCGTCTCTGCGTGTCCGCGGGGGCTGCTGCCACCGGCTGTGGGGTCGGCGCAGGGTGTGTGGCGTTCGTCTCATCATTGCCGGCCGCCTGTGCCCGTGCCAAGACTGCTTGGTACATGCCATGTGCCGCCTGTACGTACCCATCGAGCGAGCTCACTTCTTCGCCTGCCAGGCGGAGGTTGGCGCGTACTTCTGGTAGCCCGTTGGCGTGGACGAGTCTCAGCTGCTCCTCTGCAGCCATCTCCGCGCCGCGCATCAGCCTTCGCATCGCTCTCGCACGTTGCTCATATCTGCCTTATCTTCCAGGTCCCGAAGGAACGTTCTTGGGTCCCCGCTGCCGTCAAATCGGACGCCCCACTGTGCTACCTGTGTATGCAACGCGGCTCGTCTGTCTCGTTTGGCTGGTGTTGGCGCATGCTGCTCTGCCAGCGCCAGCGCATTCGCGATTGGTGGCGCTGGAGTCGGTGCTGTTGGGTTATCATCGTCAGGTGCACCACCAGCAGGAGCAGCAGACGTGGTGGGAGCGCAGGTCTGGCTCGACAGTTTCTGGAAACCTTCCTCCACGGTCTGGGCCAACCGGTGGGTGGACTGGAGACCATACTCCATGGTCTGGGCCAATCGGTGGGTGTACCGCGCCAACGAATCGGCAATGGTCTGGGACAGATCTGCCGTGGAGGGCCCTGGAGTCGCTGAGGGTGCCGCTGCGGTTGCCGTGGTCTTGGCTGCGGGCGCTGCAGGCGGGGCCGCGACCGCTACCGATATGGTCGGCACTGACGCTGGAGTTGGCGATGTCGCCCGCGCTGGAGTCAGCGATGCGGCTCGCATTGGGACCACGGTTGGTGTCGTATTTGCCTCTATCGTGACGAGTAGACCTTCCCGTACGTCCTCTTGTTTGAGGACTTCCACCTGCCCGCCAGGCACCGGGGCTCAACTGGCCTGCCGCCGCGGTACGCGATGACATGCTTTCGTGATATGCCGCTAGTTCCTCCAGGTCGGTACTCTTCTTTGGCCGACTTCACGAACGTGGACAGCCGCGACCGCAACGCCTCCACGTTGCCGGTCTCTTCGAGTTCGAACTCGCGCAGCACCGCGCTGAGCTCTTCCTACCACAGCACACGTATCCAGCTCGTTCGTAACATCGTAAGTCCACTCTCACTTCTCCCTACTTGGTCGGATATAACCTCAATCTTCTTTGGGGTCCCTGCTCGGGCGCCCCTGTAAGGTTATTACTCTGCCGCGGGTATGCTCGTCGGCCAGAGTTTATGCTGTAAATAAATATTAGGCACCCCAAAGTGCCAAGGTGTCCACAAATAAAAGGAGGGCGGTATGCCAAGTGAATATGTTTCCACGTGTTTAATTAACTTCAAAAAACAGGAAGGTGCGCTTCAGTGCGCGTTCGACTATATCTAAAACAGAACTCCCCAAAACTACTTACATTTCATAAGCTTAAACTACTTGAACTTCATGGGCTTACAACTACTTAAACTACTTATTACTACTTATTGTGGCGACGCGTTGCGCAGCAGGCAGCCACGCGTCGTTACAACATACATATGTACACTTTTATGTACATGTACACATCAATGCATGTATGTATGTTCATTCGTCTTGCACTGACAGATCTGACACAGTACACTTGGCAAGGGTGTAGGCAGGGGCGTGGGCAGGGGGGGGGGGGTGGGGCCGTTGCAACCATCCCCCCCTTAAAAAAAATTTTCCACATAAATTCGACCACACGTTCAATATTATGACGCACTATTTCGCCTTAAAATTGACCTGAGTTTGATTTGTTGAAGTTTTTTCATTGATCATATGTATAAGTTATTTTTTAAATGCATCGTGCACTATTTATCAAAATTTTGATTTTTTGTCCCCCACTTTGGTAAAAGCTGACTACGCCCTTGACATTTGGCATTAGTGTTTTCATTAGTAACTTTATGCAGCAACAACAAATTACAAAGAACGAAAATATCAAATATTTGGGGACATCATATACACACACTCACACAGAGAACAAGCAACAGTTCGTGTCTATGTGTGCGGTTCTCTACGTACCGAATCAAATTTTATCAAATTTATAAAACGAAAAACAACAACAACTGCAAGTCATTGGCTCGCGCTTCTTCTTTCGTTTTGATCAATTACAGTTTACAGTTACCGTCGCTAGGCAACGACTGCGTAAGCGATAGTAAAGCAGAAACTGAAAGCGGACCTACGCATATTTTGCTTCGCGTTGCGGGCAGATGTACATATGTATGTTTGTATATGATTTGTTCTAATTGATCTCAATAAATTATAAGATGTGTAGAAACCAGGTACTTTAACTAATTATATTTATTGCACAAAGTGCTGATACATTAGATGTACAGTGTGTGTTTGTAGTGCAGCTGCCGGAACCAGACTGACCACGCGATGACCGCTAAAATACATCTCTGGGCACCAGCGCCTGTTTTCGACGATGCGGTGCTGCCAGACCGAGCTGTGTCCGCTGAGACCGAGTCGCCACATCTACTCCCTCCTCAGTGACTTCGTCGGTAGGAGAAGGTAACGGGATATGCTCGTGTGGCTGTGAAGGCGACATTGCTGGTGACAACATTGAGATGCATCCAGGTCTGGTGCTGGACAAGATGGCGTAGCTTCGTCGTTTGTGGGGTCGAGGTTAGCGAGGAATGCAGGCTTGAGTAGGTCGACCGAAATTGCTTTGACTGCACCGTTTATGGTAATGACGTAGACCTTGTCATCAATGCGGCGGACAATTTTGTATGGGCCAGTGTATGATTGCTCGAGACGCTTCTTGACAGACGCCACCAGTTTTAAAACGGGAGTACATGTTTTCAATTCTTTTAAGCAGAATATTTGTGGTCTGGTGTGATGCGCTGTTTGAGTTGGCCTCACTGCACGGATTAGCTGGCGAAGCCTTTCAGTGAAGTGGTGTTGATCAACGGGATCTATTACATTTGTCTGCACAAAAAAGTCATTGGGAAGGCGAAGTGTCGTGCCGAAGAGCATTTCCGCAGGCGAAGATTGTAGGTCAGCTTTGAAGGCTGTACGTAATCCTCGCAAAACTGTAGGAAGCAGCTCTGGCCAAGCAATTTGTGAATTACACATTAACGCTGCCTTGAGTGTGCGATGCCATCTCTCAACCATGCCGTTGGATTGTGGATGGTAAGTTGTAGTTCGAATTCTGTCAGCTCCTATGAGTTTTGATAACTCATCAAATAAGGCCGACTTGAATTGTGTGCCCTGGTCTGTGGTTATGGTGAGAGGGGTGTCGAAAAGGCAAATGCATTGCTTGTATAAAGCTGAGACGACAGTCTCCGCTGACAAATTTGGTAGGGGAACAGCGAGGGGCCATCTGCGGAACCGACCGATGATAGTGAGGCAGTAGCGTAGTTCGTTGACACGAGGTAGCTCTATCAAATCCAAATGAATGTGCTCGAAGTGGTTATCAGTGACTTCAATTTTGTCAATAGCGCCGCGTGTATGTCGATGAATTTTTGCATTTTGGCACGGAACGCATTGTCTTGACCAGGCGAAGGCGTCCCGATTTATGCCTGGCCAGACAAATCGATGTTTAAGCATTTTTGCAGTTGTGCGACCACTAGGGTGCGCCAATCCGTGCACTGAGTCAAAAGCTAGCGACGAATACTGGCTGGTAGGTATGGTCTTGTTCGTCCAGTTGATGTATCGCACAAAATGTCGAACTGCTCAATACGAAGTGTTTGGAGACTGAGAGATGTGCTTGATGCCAGCTGAGAAATTTCTCCATCAGTTTGCTGGGCGTCATAGATAGTCTGCGCATCAAAACTGCTCGGCATGTTAGTCGCGTTAATGCGTGAGAGTGCGTTGGCAACAGCATTGTCTGTTCCAGGCGTGTGGACGATTTCTGTCGAGAACTGCGAAATGAAGTCAGGCTGGCGATGCTTTGGTGGCCTTTTGTGCAAACGCATAAACTAGTGGTTTATGATCATTCTGGGTGATAAAAGGCCGACCCTCAAGAATGTGCTTGAAAAAAATTATGGCAGCGAAGATGGCCAGTAGTTCACGATCATAAGTGCTGTAGTTCTTTTCCGCTGGACTTAGCTTTCGCGAGAAGAAACTGACAGGACGCCAGACATCACCATCCAGTTGCTCGAGAGCGGCGCCAATTGCAGTTTCCGATGCATCAGTTTTTAAGGATAGTTGAGCTGACGGTGCGAGGAATGCTGTTCGCACTACACTGCTTATTCCTTGTTTACAATTTTCAAAAGCTTTGTTTGCCTCAGTCGTCCAGGTTATTTCACGCTTGTCGTTCTTCGTTGCGCCTTTAAGATACTCAGTAAGCGGAGTTTGTGTTTCGGCTGCATGGGGAATTAGCCGTCGATAGTAGTTGACCATTCCGAGAAACCTTCGCAACTCCATAATTGATTTGGGCTTCGGAAAGTCGCTGATTGCCTAGGTGCGCTCGGCAGGTGGCTTTAAACCTTGAGGAGTAACTGTGAAGCCCAGGAAATTAACCTCACTTTTACCAAATTGGCTTTTCTGTGGGTTGATGCTTAGACGGTTTTTGCATAGTATTTCAAACGTTGTTGAAAGATGTTGCAGATGCTCTTTTTGGGAACTGGAGTAGACGATTATGTCGTCAATGGAACAGCCGACAAAAGAAAGTCCGCGGATTAAGTTGCCCATTTGACGTTGGAAGGCTTGAGCTGCATTTTGCAGGTCTGTGGTACGTACCTGTGGTACGCCAACCCTTGTGTTTCTTAGGAACCAGGTGGATTGGACTAGCCCATTGACTACTTGAAGGTCGAACAACCCCACATTGCAGTAGCAGATCGAAGTCGCAGCGTGATCGATGAGGCGTTTGCCTTTCAGATCGATTAATAAGCCGTTATGCGTGAGGAAATCAGCACTAATTATCGCTGACTGCACGTTGGCGATTATGAAGGACCAGTTAAACTTGCGTTGTAGGTTGACATCAAACGATTTGTTGAGGAACGCTTTGCAGCACTACCTACTTATATTTAAATGTAACAGCCAGACTTAAAATGTTCATTAACACAGGCGTGCATTCGCCGTACATTCGCCTTTTCGCTTCACGCGTGAGTATTATCATGACCGCCGATCCGATCGAACGCACACAGCGCAAGATAAATACAGTCCACTATTAACACAAACTGATAATAAACATAAGTGACAATTTAAAGGCATTGCCATTTTCGTATTATTCATTCACAATCATAATTTGGTCCTTCGAGCCGGATCTGTAGTGTACTAGTGCTCATTTGATAATTGTTCACCATGGAAGAGTTAAAGACATTGATGGCTGGCCGTGCCAGGTTAAGGCAAGTATCACACGCATACTAAGCTCATCGGAGAAACTTCACGAAGGAAGTACTCTGGATGTTGTCATAAGCCTAAGGGATCGACTCAATACAGCTTGGCTTGAGTTCGAGAGATTAGGAGACAGCATGTTCATCCGCGAAGATGTTGATGGGTTTGTGGATCCAACGAAGTACACGAGGCAAGGTTTTTGAAGGCGTATGCTCTGCTAGCATCGCATGAGCGCTCGTTGCAGCCAAAACCGACCTTGAAAGTGTGCGAAAGAACAGAAAGCAGCGACGTTGCGGAAGACGTTGGCGCTGCAATGTCGGGCGTCGCTACGAACAGCGATGCTATTTACCGTTTGCTTCAACAACAAGAACAGTTATTTGAACGCTTGGCAGTACACGAAACTGCAACAACAAAAACGGCCACCGAGACGGCGCCGATAGCGCAAAACGAATTGCCGAAAATCAAAATAAAAGAATTTGCTGGTGACTACACAGAGTGGCCGGCTTTCAAGG